ATTTAGGCCAGGCACGGTGGCTTACACCTGTAATCCCAACACTTTGGGAGGCCGAGGCGGGCGGATCATGAGGTCTGGGTTCAAGACCATCCTGGCCAACATGGGGAAACTCTGTCTCTACTAGAAATACAAAAAAGGAGCTGGGCATGGTGGCACACACCTGTGGTCCCAGCTACTTGGGAGGCTGAGGCAGGAGAATCGTTTGAACCCGGGAGCGGCGGGGAGCTGAGACCGCGCCACTGCACTCCAGCCTGGTGACAGAGCGAGACTCGGTCTCAAAAAAAAAAAAAAAAAAAAGATAATTAAAAGAAACAATACATGCTATTGTATTGGATAGATAAAACAGAGTTTCATGTGACAAAACCTGTACATAAAAGTATTTCTTATTGTTTAATCATCGTTTTATGTATGTGGATCACTATGGAATACTGAGCTCAGAAAATAAATTACTTTTCTTTTTCAAAACATTGGATTGGTAGTTTCATCTCGTTTTAGGTAATATTGATTTATCCTAAACTGGTAAAAACGACCTAGATACTATATATATTTAATTTAAGTACCTTGTAGTTCCATGGAAAACAAACTGATAAAATTTTAAGAGTAAATTGACTAAATAAATATAGATTATACTTAAATTTTTTTCTCTATGAACTGGCTTTACAGATGTACTTTAACATTTAATATACCAACATATTTTTGAAAAAAGAATCCATTTTTGTGCAACATGTTTCTAAGTGAACAGTATGACTTCAGATTTTTAAGAGAGTTAACAAAATAATAAGCATTGGATATATTTACCTTTTTTCAAATGTTGTAACAAATTTACCAAAACGCTCCACACACACACACACACACACACACACAAAACACAACATCAAACAACAGTAAATGGGATTCTCTCTGTGTCTGTGTTCCACAGTCAGTACCACTACCACTACTACAGTTTGCTTTTATTATAGCATTATCAATTTTCTGCAAATAAGCCTAAATGTCTTATAATTCTACATGTTTATATTACACAGTAATTGAGGAAAAACTAAATATTTTTGAAAGTACATTTAAAATACTACTTTAGAACAATTAATCTGCTTGGGTATACAAAATGAAAGCCAGTTGTTAGAAATCTCTTATACTCCAAAAATTAAAAGAGTGTTAAGTGTCAAGGGTTAGACCTGGACTAGAAGCGTGGGTCACTTGGTGGATGACCATGCAACTCAAGAAGAGGAAGAGTGGATTTAGAATTCAAGATAGAGATGAAACACTCATGTACTTAGTATGTGTGAAGTTTAGGAGAGGGAGCTGAGCTTGATGGAGCCACGAGTTGCAGTAGCTGAAGCCATGGCTGTGGATAAGATCCCAAGAGAATGTGAAAAATGAAACGTGATATAGAAAGTGGAGAAGAAAGGGAATATGGGGACCACTGCACACAAAGGAAATAATATATGTTGTCAACTGCCAACAGCGATGTGTGGAACAGTGGTCTTTACTACATCCTTCTCCAGCTGACCCACCGTCCACACGAACTTATGCATGCTTCCCTTGCTCTGCTCCACCCATGCTCGGTTCATGGTAATTGACATGGCTGTTTCATATCTATTAGCTCACTAGACTGAGCTTACCATTGGGATAGCCAACAACAGCAGTGAACCCTAAATCCTGACGACCTTATCAGCACTTAGGGAGAGCTGGGGAATGAAACTGGAATTCTTTTGGGGCCAGATCATTAACTCATATCTAGTGACACCCCATTTTCCCTCTGGAAAAGTTAATTGTTATGCAATTAGCCTTACAGAATGGAGCATTTCTGTTGGTTTACTAAAACTGTTAAGCCAAAATAGGGCACAAGTGCAAGTCCTGGCTTCAGAAGTTGGCTGTACCTTCCCTTCTGCAGTACAAGGTGAACATCTGTAAAGAAGAGTGCAATGTCCCGGGTGTGTTTAAACTGACTGCCTTGGCCTCAAACTAAAGCTGTTAGGCCAAAACAGGGCACAAGTGCAAGTCCTGGTTCCAGAATTGGCTGCACCTTCTTTTCTGCAGTATGAGGTGAACATCTGTAAAGAAGAGTACAGTATCCCTGGTGTGTTTACACTGACTGCCTTGTCTTCAGGGATCATTAGATTTCAAAGAAAAAAAGTCACAATATCCTTTGCATGGACCAGATGATGAGAAACTAAATTGTAATTTGGAATTCATTTACAAGAAAAGGCCTGAATGGTTTTCCCATGGACAGGATCTTGGAGGTTAGGAATACTAAATCCTGTGCCCAGCTCAGTCTCTCTGACTGACTAGGGAACATTGTCTTCAGACTACAGAAGTCGCAACCCTAACCCCAAAGCATGAGATATTCAAACCTTTTGAAGGGTGTGATGTTTCCAGGTAATTTGGCTTGGCGCAGGGATTGCATTTATGCCCAACTTTGGCTAAGCGATTTTAGTAGTCCAACAAAAATGCTCTGTTCTGTAAAGCTAATTGCAAAACAATATCTTCACTTCTCCAGATGGAAAACGGGATATGAAAATCCACCAAAGGAAAGAAATATCATTTCCCACACTATGGCTCTGCAATCTTAGAATGGTTTCATGAATATTATGTATGTGCAGTAAACATTTATGACCGTATTTAGGTCCAAGCAGCATGAGGGATTTTGTGCGAGTAGTTGTTGATGAGCACTACAAATAGGAATCCTTTATATCTGAGGTATCCATAGTAACTAAGTAGGGCCCATTTCCATCGTGCTTATTTGCTTCCAACCTGCCAGCCATGCTTAGACTCTGAGGGCTCCAGGATTCCTAATTCATAAAAAAACACCCCAGAGAGGTGGGTAAGTGCTTTTCAGCAAAAGCAAACTTAAGCAAGTGATTTTAAGAGATTTGAAGAGTGCTACATGGCAGCCAAGATGATAATTTTTGGCCCAAACATAAATTTAATTGAGTAGTGTTATAAAGACAAAATTACATAGCCAGAAACAGAATTATGATCATTAGGAAAATAATAGTGTTGTCTTGCATCTCCTTGAAATCCCCTGTTATGTTACTCACTCCACTGTTGACTATTTTGTAGGTAGCACACGTTCACCTTGCATTTGGCAGAGAACACCAGCTTTGCTATGAATGCTCACAGTTTTTGTAATACAGGGAAATATTTAACATACTAGAGAAAAAAGGTTTAAATTCATTAACATTAATATTGTAATGTTCACATAATCCTCTTAGGACACACTCACTAAAGTGATTTTATAGTGTTTCCATTTAACACACATAGTAGCTTTTCTTATGGATTGTATGTGCAGTGCCGTTGAACAGAAGCATAAAATTGTCAGTGGCCTATATTTTTTAGATTATTTAACTATGATTAGAAATATTTTGATCCATTTTTTTCACTTCATCTCTTTTTCATATTAGTGCACACTTGACCCTTGAACAATACAGGTTTGAGCTGGACGGGTCCACTTATATGCAGATTTCTTTCAATAAAAGTTACACCGAGTGCTCCTGCCTCTCCTGCCTCTTCCACCTCTTCTCCCTTTTCTGCCTCTGTTACCCCTGAAACAGCAAGACCAACCCCTCCTCATCCTCAGCCTACTCAACATGAAGAAGATAAAGATGATCCATTTCCACTTAATGAATAGTGAACAAATTTTCTCTCTTCTTATTTTCTTCTTTGTAGTTTACATGTAGTTTGTAAGAATGCAGTATATAATAATATAACATACAAAATATTTGTTAATCGACTGTGTTATCAGTAAGGCTTGCAGTCGACAGTAGGCTATTAGTAGTTAAGTTTTGTGGAGTCAAAAGTTTTGCGTGGATTTTTGTTGGATTTCTGACTTCACAGGGAGTCAGTGCACCAACCCCTGCATTGTTCCAGGGTCAATTGTATTTTTGTCTGATTTCATGAGGGTGAACTTTTTATACTATACTTTTACAGATAGAAATGAAAGTACTTAGTAATAATTGAATGTATGTACAGTAAAAATATTATAACTGTTGTTCTAAAATAATTATATTAAATTGAAACCTAAGTTAGTCTTCAGGCTTTTTAAGGTTTTGAAATTTGAACTGGAATGTGAAGCAGAATGCACTAGAATAACATTTCTCCTTTCTCCAGTGTCAAGATGGGAAGGCACACATTCTAAGAGTCTGTATCCCCATCTATTTTTCACTAATATTCAAGCTATAGTTACTGGCTAAAATGATGAAGCATCAAAATTTGTGAACTCTGGGAATCATAGCAAGTGTATAACTATAATTCCTTTGTGTCTAAGGAGGGTGGACCTCCATATTAGAGAGAAAATTTACAAATGTTGAGGATAAATGGAAATTGAGATTGACTCCTAAGGAAACATCTGTTCACTCACTCAGCAAACATTTATCCCACTCTGCTAATGCTAGGCACTGTGCTGGATATTTGGAGAGACACTGGGGAAAAGCCTAAGGTCTCTAGTCTTGTGGCTCTTACATTCTAGAGAGGGATTACAAATGGTGGCATAGTTATTAAAAAAATTAAGATGATGATTTCAAGACATGATAAGAGCGAAGAAGGAAAGTGAACCAAGTTAATGTAATGGAGAGTATTGGAGTGGGCAAGGCTGCTTTAGATCAGAGAGTCTGGGTGGACTTGACGGAGGAGGTCATGGATAGCCTTGCAGCTGGTAGTCCTGTGGGCAACATTAACAGCAGATAGAATGAGAGGGTTAGGGGCTAACTGAGCATTCACCTTTGTCTTCTTTTTCCCCTCGGTTATGAGTGTGACTAGGCGGAACATTCAAGAGAGATGTTGCAGGTCTCGTAGCAGTCACGTAAAAGGCAAGATGATTCATTGTATCTGTTCTTTTTGTGATACTCGTGTGACTACCTATAAGCTTCAAAGTGAAATAAACATTACCTCTTCTACCTTAGCCCGCTTCTCATCATTACAAATTTAAGAAGGCAATTATTAATGTGAACAGTCATTCTTCTTTTCAGCAGTGCTAACTTAAAAAAAAATCACTAGCACTTAGCTCAGATGCAGCTGACATGTACCAGGATTGCTTGCCATTGCCCTCTCAACCCATCTGAGTCTAGTTTTTCTTTCTGCTGCTGTTTTCCTTCTGCTGCCGTTTTTCTTTCTGCTGCTATCAAGATGGGAACATGTGCCTTCCCATCTTGACACTAGTAGAGAGAGAGATTGAGAGAGTGAGGGGACAGAAATCAGTTCTGATTTTCTAGTTTCTAAACACTGCAGAAGAACAAAGTAGAGAAGAAAGAGGAGAGTGTGTGAGGAAAGAAGTGGCAAGAGATGCATGAGATAACTTAGCAAGGAGTTAAATCACTAGCTCACATAATGACAAAGAAATTGACACTCTAAATTGAGAGCCTGCCATTTTTGTTAACTGGTATCCCTGAATGTAACTAATGGCACAAGCTACATAGAAACAGCGCTTGTCCTGTTTTTGTAATGAGCAGAAATCTTGCCCACTGAGACATTGAGTTCTTTTCTAACTTTTTGCTCTGTTGAGAACATCTTTGCTTTTGGATACAAAGGCAGCATGAAAATCCGGAGGCCTTCTCAGGAAGGGGAACTTCTAGGAACTTAATCTGTTAGTGGGAGAGCCAGGAACCAGCACACTTGGAGTGTTATCTGAGCAGGAGGAGTCAGAATTGGCTGGCCAGTTTTCCCTTAATGAGTGTTTATTATGTTTAAGCTACAGAACTAATTACTGTGAAAAGACATAAAGGAACAAGAAGACCAAAATCGTATCCTCATGATACTGACAAATCAGTTGGACTGAGCACACATGAATCAACTGAAGAACACTTCTGCCAAGTTCAAGTTGTGTAAAAGTGGAGGATATGAGTCTTGTGGGGACACAGAGTTGAGGCATGAGCTATTAGTCAGAGCCGTAAGGCTGCCTGCAGGAGAAGAACTTTGGATGGAGTTTTGAAGGAAGTGAGGAAAAGATCTGAATTAACGTATTAATACATAAAGCTTGTCATCTGAACAGGACTAGAAGCATCTCGAGGGTAAGAACGTGCCTTCTCTTTCTTACACATTCCCTGAAGACCCACGTTCCTTGTTGGGCACTCTGTAACAGTATTTACTAAGCACTTGAATACCTGGACATGGGCACCATGTTGCTAAGTTGATTAAAGGTTTATCTTCCGCTCTGCCACTGCCCATAATACAAAGTGGAAACATGTCACAAGCACCTTGTAGATCTGTCCCTTTTTTCTTCTGATGTTCACCCTCCTTTTGAGCCTTTTTCTCTCCAACATTGCTTACAAAATAATATTTCTGCATCTGACAGGGAGCAAATATTCAGTAACTTTCTGCCGTTGGCCTCCCTAAAGAGGAGAATCTGCTGAATGCCACCGGAAATGTAAGGATCTCTTGTGACAGTAACGTCTCAGGGGAAAACTAGTGGTTAAATTGTTAATTCTTTGCGTCTGAAACTTTTTTCATTTGCAGTGCAGATAAGTGCCTGATCTTAGAGTATCATGTTTCTGACTTCTTTGGTCTGGCTTCATTTTTTTTTTTTTCCAAAATGCCATTTTCATTTGTTCTTAGAGTTCAGAACATGTCAGAGAGTTTCTCTGAGCAGTAGGTGATTTTACAGAGCCCACAGAGAAGGAAAGCTAAATGTCATCCCAGATGTAGTCCACTACGATCAGGGAGGAGTCAGATTACTCTCCAGGCTTTGCTGTGTCTGCTTGTGAAACAGGAAAGGGAGAACTGAGGCAATGAGTCACCTTATTTGGGCCCAAAGCACCACCTACGTTGAATATGCAGGAAATTTGAAGCAAGAGTTTCTTTTTAGAGGTACTGTGTACATAATCACCATTTTCTCCATGGTTCTTATCCAATTCAGTGCATCTTTAGGGATGGCTTATGGAATCATGATATAGCAGAAAAATACAGGTGATACCATTCTTGCCTGTTTCTACCTAACTCTTTCATTTAAACTCTCACTAGAATCTATAGGAACTGTTAGCATAAATTTTAATAAGTTGTCGACTAGGTGATTAGTGGTATTTATTGGTTATTTTTGACAAAATAATGGAATCATCAAATTTTGAGTTGCGAAGTAAAGTAATTATTTATGCCAAACCCCAAATGTAGACAAGGTCACATTATAAACATTAATGCTGTCCCAAACTGCCAATGCATTGCATACAAGTGAGTCTAGTAGGTTACCGTTGAGTTCCTCTACTTATGCTTTAAGAGGTTGGCATTGGTAAGCCACTACATTTTCTTGATCAATGAGGCAGAAACCCCTTTGCAAAACACTCAGCTGATGAAAAGATTAGCTAGAATGACTCTAGGAACTGTCTTCTAAGGATCTGACTCATTCATTCCCTTTTTTTTTTTGGTAGGGTTCTCTGGGCCAAGTTAGTTCGAGTATGTATCATTTAAAATAGGATATTACCATCACCATCATCATGTACATTCGTAAATCAAAGCAAGATTAGAGAAGGAATATGGTGGATCACAGAGCAACTCAGAAAGATGACAGCAACAACTAGGAAATGAAACACCATGGTTGTATTTCAGGAACCCTACCCAGCAGATAGGAATTACCATAGCTCCTAAAATTCCATCTGGGTGGTTGATGGAGCCTCAAGTAATCTGACACCATAGCCCACACTCCCCTCTTGCTACCTGCTGAAGTTAGCAGGGAAAAGTCAAAGAGGGTGCTGTCAGTGGAGTCAGTTCTGAGGGATCATAGTGAACCACCCTCCATTGCACTGACTCTTTCCCACAAAATGGACTAAAGACAACAACTCTCCTTATGTATTTAAGAAAGAATGGTCAAAAAATACAATTCACATTTTTTTCTGATGTACACCATTTTGACAATGTTTCACCATGTAGGTAATATGAATGGGGGCATTTAAACACAGTCCTGTTTAATATCCTTAGCCAGTACTAATTAAATGCCTACCAAGCCCAGCACTGTTCTAGAAACCTCAAAATACACCTTTAAAAACACATTTTATTGACAGTTTATAAATGAAGAAAACAAGTCTCCGAAAATTAAAGTAACTTGCACAGATACACGAGCTAGAAAGTAATAAAACTGAATTTTGAACCCAGGTCTGTCAGACTCCAAAGTCCATGATTTTCTGCTCCATATGGCCAACCCAGTTAGAAAGGTTATAAAAAATCTTAACAGTTTTTCAGCCCTTCTCACACTTAGCTTTAAGATTAAAGTATTGGTCACGATTTGAAAAAAACAAAAAACAAAAAAAAAAGTGGTGTACAATATTCCAGCTATATTCAATAAACATTTGTTGAACACAACACATGTATATACAGGTCACTGTTACAGGTGTGTGTATAAGTAAATATAATATGGTCCTTAGCTTTAAGACCTTACAGTCTAGGGGTAGATATGCATATCCATACAACTTCTATTTATTTTTGAACTTCGACTATGTGTCAGGTACTACGCTGAGCACGTTATCTTGATTTATTATTTAATCCTTACAAGAGCCATGTAAGGTAGTGGTTTCAGAAATATTTTTGCCGAAATGTAAATAGTAAAAAACAATATGTGAAGCCTTTATTCCAACTAGGTAAAATAAGGAAGGCTTTACAAAGGAGTTGAATGACACTTCAGCTGAGCCCTAAAGAATGAATAGGATTCTAATAGAACAGCTGGCGGCAGGCGTGGTGGCTCACACCTGTAATCCCAGCACTTTGGGAGGTGGGCAGATCACATTAGGTCAGGAGTTTGAGACCAGCCTGGCCACCATGGCAAAAGCCCATCTCTGCTAAAAATACAAAAATTATCCGGGTGTGGTGACACATTCCTGTAATCCCAGCCACTCGGAGGCTGAGGCAGGAAAATTGCTTGAACCCACGAGGTGGAGGTTTCAGTGAGCCGAGATGGTGCCACTGCACTCCAGCCTGGGCAGGGGGAGACTCCATCTAAAAACAAAACAAACAAAACAGCTGGAAGAGGACTTTCCTGTGACAGGGCCTTTCATGTCATGTGAAAAGTAGGAGTAAATCAATGGAGGCAGGGAAATGTAGGGTGTATTTAGTAAGGGCAGCTAGTTTGGATTGGATAGTGTACATTAGAGACATACCATGAGTGAGGGAGTGAATGTGGACAGTGAACCTAAACGCTTAGTGGTAGCAGGTCACGAGGGCCGTGCATACATGCATAAAGAGATTGGACGTTGCAGGAAATGGGAAGCTATTAAAGATTTCTAAGCAAGAGAATGACAGGTCAAATCTGACATGATTTGGAAAAAACGTAGGCTCAGTCAGAAGCCATAGTCTAATGACCAATGCATCATAATTATTTGCTACCCTAATTTTCTTCTTTAGAAGTCAGCTTTTAAAATATGTGTTTATAATACAGGTTTATACATTTTTACAAGGTTGAAACAAAGAATAATAATATTTATTATGTAAGATTCAAATTTCAGTATCAACAAATAAAGTTTTCCTGGGCACAGTCGCACCTATTGGTTCACGTGTTGTCTACACCTGCCTTCCTACTACAGTGACAGAATTGAGTACCTGCCACAGAGACCATCTGCCCAACAAAGCCTGAATTATTTACCGTCTGACCCTTAAGAGAAGAAGTTTGCTGACTCCTGCTCTATTGCGTCTTTCTGGCCCTCTTAATCCATTTATATAGGTTTCTTCCCTTTGTGTGTGAATGGAAAATGAATTTAAGTTCATTAGTAGAAGCAAGAAACCTTTAGCTTGGCCTCCAGGTATTATTTGTTTTCCTTCTCATGAGAATTTTGAATGTCCTGTATTTACATTCTCAAGGCTAAAGAATAATGAGGCAGAATATGTTTTCTCCATTACTATATCCCCTTCCTATGGGGATTCTGAAGGTGTGGTTTTCCCTCTAGGTGAGAGAACTATATTCCTTTTCTAGGCAGATTCCATTTTAGTTCACACTCAGGCTGTCAGATACACAGAACAATGTCACACAAGCTTCTTAAGACCTCTTAAAAATCACTTCCAGTTTGACTTCTGCCCATACCTTATTTTGTTAGTTTTCCTCAGAAAGGCTCGGGAATAGCAGAATAACCTTTGATTACCAACAATAGATTTAATTTTCCTATTTGATATGATGATGTCACAGAAAATAACCAATTGCTTTATGTGCTCTGTAGCTTTGTGCTTCACTGCATCATCACTTTCT